GAGAGAGAGAGAGAGAGAGAGAGAGAGAGAGAGAGAGACAGAGAGAGAGACAGAGAGAGAGAGAGACCGAGAGAGACAGAGACAGAGAGAGAGACAGAGAGAGAGAGACGACAGGGAGAAGGTGAGGGGGAACTAAGGGAAAGAGGGAAATGAAAAGAAGAGAACGGTGACACACGACAGAACGTATCTACGGGGATGAGAGATCACGTGGCAGACAGCGCTGCAGAGGCAAGGCGGCGCATGCGAAGCCACGGAGGGCAGGCAAACAGGTCGGTCGGTCGCCAGGGCAAACGGAAAAGGACGGGAAAAAACGGTCTCGCCGCAACAACAGGAAAGCACATGTATGTCGGCGCTGTTGGTGCCAAATGTGGTGGGTAGGCGGCGCAAAAGGTTGGTGTAACATTGAAATAGAGCACGTGCTTTTGCGGCAAAAAAAAAAAGGGTGAGGGGGGATATTCCTAGTCGTGCATGCCGTAGTCGTTAGACCATTGACCTCGCATCCCTACAAAGCCGGGACGGAGCACGCCGGGTTCTCACCGGACCAGGCTCTCACATCACCAAGCGTGAAGCACCGTGGGATATTCGGCGAGTCGCATCAAGGGTGCGCTGCATCCTGCTAAGGGTGTTCGGCATTTTGTGCTTACTTCCTTGCGTACGGATGACAGCTGCGTATGACTGAATTTATTTTCTGGTGCTTTCACTTCCAGAGACAGTTGTAAGCACTGTGTAACTGCCTCGAGGGTGCTTGACCATTTTAACACAACGTGGTGCGATCGTCCCCCTTGCGCGGAGTGAGGATTCTCCACCCCGCACAACATGATCTACTCGACCACCATTATGGCTACCGCTAAAAAATAAAAAACGGAGGTAAAAAAAACGGTAACCTGGTTGCCGAGTTCACGAAGTGAATTGGCTTGTTTTACAACGTCGTTGCCAAGCGACGAAAACCCAACCCCGATGGCAAACACCAGGGGGGGGTAAGGGGAGAATGATCTCCTGCTCGCGCAACACTGATTGTAGTTAGCATGCGGCACTGGTGTGCAAAGCCGCCCGACACCACGGACTGTATGTACCAACAAGGGTAAAGGGCGGACATCACCTTTCCCGAACTCCCCGCCTTGAATGCCGTTGGCGTCGTCGTTGGGGGGGCGGGTCACCCGGGTCACCCGGGGAAAGGAGGACTGCGTGCGCAATCCATGGAGGGGGAGCGCCGTCGCGCGCGGGTACGGGAGAGGGGGGGGTCAGCAGAAAGTACCACGTAGTTTTGGCAGTTTTGTGGCAATACGTAGGAAGCCGCACCCAACGCGCAAGGATTCGCGATTTTCGGGTCTCTGATACCCAAATACTGTCCGTCGCTCCGCCGACATGGATGTCCCCCGAAGTGAGAATTCACAATACTATGCATGCGAAAGGGGCCGGACGGTACTTTAGCAAGGCCTCCACCCCAAGAGCTCTTCGCCGCACACTGAAGCCCGGCCCTTGGGTTAGAGGGAAAACTCTGGGCTTGGGTAGGGATTGTACTCATCGACGTAGTCGTTACACCGATGACCCCGCATCCCTGCAAAGCCGGGAATAAAGCCGGGACGGAGCACGCCGGGTATTCACCGGACCCGGGGGATTGCCGCTGCTTGCTTACGGCTAACGTAGCTGACGATCGCCCTGATCTGCTGTGCCGGTGTCTCCGTCTCTCACCAATTTCTGCATCATTTCACGTGTATCACCCTCTCGCTAGCTGCCTGGACGGCGGCGTGCTAGCAGCAGCCTAAAGAAGCCAGCTGCAGCTAGCTCAGCACGGAGGGGGGAGGGTATCCTGAGCCTCCCCTAGTCTCTCTGTGGTTTCGCCGCGGCCGCCGCCGCCGCCCTCGTCCGCTATTCTCGCTCTGGGCGTACGAGGAAAGACAGACAGCAAGCCGACGAGAAACAGGGCGGGCGTAGCGTTAGAGAAGCCCCTGCGTGTTATGCCAAATTCGATTTTTGCGGCTACGTTGGTGGGCGAGCGAAGAGAGATTTTTTTTGGTCTTGGCAAGCTTGCGTAGCGTCGCTTCTTGCTGGCTGTGATCCAAGCGGCCTGTCAGTCAGGCAGGATGGCAGCCGTGTAAAAGCTGGGCTAGCCAAGGCGCAAACATTCGGTCGTACGGCCATATGTCGTGAAGGAATCAGAATTGGAACGAGCTTGGCAAATCTGCTCAATTTTGCCAATCACAGCGGATGTGCAGCTGTCTCTCGAGAACCCTCTTGACAAGTTTTCTTAAACGAAGAAAACCCTCCGCATTTCGTATAGGATTTAGAGAAGCAAAAAAATAAAGCTGAAACGTTTTTTTTGCGGCGAAAATAAGACTTTTTGAAAAAATGGTGCACAAAGAATGCGCACACACAGCATCCGCTGCTGGCACCGAGAGCGGACAGCATGGAGCCCGCCCTTGCAGCACTCAAAACCAAGGGGTAGCAGAAGACCTCTGTCCCATCTTACTATCTAGATGAGAGTAAAGGCAAGTGGCGCCTTTGGCTGAACTTCACAACACGGAAAGGAGCCAAGCGGTACATTGCACAACGAAACGCCAAGTTTTGTGTACAATAAATTTTACTTCATTGACTACAATTGATGCAATTTGCAGGGTTAACCTCAGATTTCAACCTTGTTCTGTAATATTACGTCATCATGGCAACCGTGCCCCTCCTGTACGGGGAAAGAGTCGGCGTGTGTGCTCCTGTTGCCATCAGTTCGCTTTCGCACCCGTTTCGTCGGCTGTGAGCCCTTCATTTTCCTATTAATATTTTCGGCCCTGCACCCAGGTGTCGAGGCCAAAACCTTTTATGGTATTTTCATCACGACTTTAACGAGTTGGAATCTGAAGTTTTGATATGTGGTTGGTATTAGTACATACAACCAAGACCTTGACTGGAGGCACTTTTTTTTTTTAGCCCCCCTATATAAAAAAAAGAATCACCATTTGTCCAATAACAGGGCTACCTCGTGAAAAAAAAATAGGTGCTTCCAGTAAAGGTCTTAGTGTACTACTACCGACCACATATCAAAATTTCAGGTTCTAATTCGTAGAAATCGTGGTGTAATCGTTATCAACCATTTTGCATGCAACTTGGCTGACCCAGCTTGTAGTCTAGCCTGACGGACTCCGGGCAAGGGCCTTGCTTTGGCGACAAACGCGTTGCGTCGACGTCTGTCGGTCCATGACCCGAGAAAAGCCCGTAAGCCCTCTCTGGCGTTTGGTGCCGCTCTCACCCAGAGCTATGAATGGCGCGCAAGAAGCCACAGGAGCTTTCAGAAAAAAAAAAATCTCGGCAGCCTAATTCTTACATTTCTGCCATTCCTCGCTGGTGGTGTAGAAAGGGACACAACACACACGCCAGCAACCAACCGTGCGGGCAACAACACACGGCCAAGGGGGCTTGCTTGCTTTGCGCAGGAGGAGGAGGAGGAGCTTCGATTTCCATGCGCGATGCCCCTCGCGTGCTGAGATAAGTGTCTGATTTTCAGACAACGTGGTGGCAAATACACCGCCGTCCGGACGGGGCCGATTCCCAAACAAGATCGATAGACGGCGTACCGTCACAACACCAACAGCAACAGCAACAACAGCAGGCGACCTGGTTATAGATATAAAATGTATGCATCGCGCCGTGGGCGTGAGTGCAGAGATGACGACGCAACCAAAGCCTCGCGCAGCTAAGCTTGGCCTTCTACAGAGAGCGCCCACCTAGAAGAACCCACGTCGAGTTTCTTGGGGTTCGTTGATCCTCGTGTGGGCCACAAACCCCCCGCTGTGGGCCACAACCTGCCCCTGTGTAGGTGATAGTGCAAGGGATTCTTTTGACCGGGCTCAGAAACGGTTCTCAAGTTCTTCGTTATGATGAGATGCTGAGCATGAAGCTCTTAGCTGCCAAGTCGCTACCTGTACCCGCGAGAGGCGGAGGGATGGCACCGCCCTTTACACATGGACAAAAGCTCCACAACCGAGGGCGTGTGCTGACAACCAACGGCGTGTGCGGAAAAAGAGCCCGATACGCCAATGGAAGCCTTCAACGACATGTTACTACAAATCATCATTTTTTTGGTGTTTGGCACAATCTTTGTTGTACATTAATCGAAAACGTTCTAGGGGGGGGGGGG